TAGGCAAGTGCTTTTCCTTTGAAAAAAGTTTGTTTTTTTTTTTTTTTTTTTTACTTTTTTTAGAGAGAAATTATTGCCATAGGGAGTGTGTGTTTGCTGGAGAGAGAAAGCGAGAAATCACCCCCTGGGGGATGCCCATGCCACATTCTCTTCTCCTCTGTTCTCCTCTTCAGATCATGGGTGTGCATGCATATCCTCCAGTATGAGTTTCAAGTTACTGAGTCTGGGACTTAGACTGCAGTCAATTACATGGGAGTTCAGCGACATAACCATTACACCATGCGCTGGTCCCCCCAAGTAGCTTAATATGGTGTTAGAGCATGGTGGAACTGTTCAGTAGACACTCTCTCTTAATATTGCTAGCATCTCAGCTCACTGTTGGTAAGTGCAAACATACACTGAAGATATTCAGTGAATGTTTAAGTTCTTTAGCAAGTCCCTGTACATACAAGTTCTATGTCTTTTTTTCTATTGTTTTTACTTTTGCTGCTATACTCTTCAAAGACAAACTCAAAAAATTTGTAAAATCAATGGAGGAAGCTGAAACCCAGTAAGATGATGAAATACTGTTAGAATAAGTCACTTTCTTAGGAAATGAATATGTAGACTCAATGGATACTATTAAGACGTCATTATGGAAACATGCCCTAACTGAGAAGGCGATTTTGTTTAAAAAGTTACCTTACCTTTAAAAATTCTTCAGTTAAATACACCACATGGCGTCTGGGTTAACCATGGACTGTGTCATGGTTATACATGAGGTGTCACATAAGATAGAACCTCGGTGTATACAGAGCTATACCATCTAGGTGTGTACAAGTACACTCTGGTGTGTTCATACAATGACCGAATCACCTAACACCATATTAGAATGAATCCTCTTTACTAAGGGGCATGTGATTCTATGTTGCATAAAGAAAGCTTCCTTCTTTTTCATCACCTTGAAAAAAGTTCTATGAAAGAATGAAGGATACTGCAGACAAAATAAATACTTTCTAAATATGGCTCTTTCCTTTTCATACTCACACTCAGGCTGCGTGGCCACCTTGATGGGTTGAGAACTCTCCCCAGGTCCCCACTCATTGTAGGCGACCACTCGGAAGGTGTACATGGCTTCAGGCTTCAGGTTTCCCACAGTAAGCTGAAGGGATCCAGGCTGGGTTGTATTCAATGCTCGTTCCCTGGAAAATCAAAGTTGCATAGAAAGCTTATTCTTTTTTTTTTTTAATGAAGGATTTCTTTAATTTTATGTATTCATTCATTTACTTTAATTTGACCAGAGAAAAACACAGAGAGAGAGAGAGAAGGAAAGAAGGCACCAGGTCTGGGACTCCAACCACGGTTGGCCATGAAGGAGTGTCCAGAGCCTTAACCACACCGCCACCTGATGGCTCCTAAAAAACAAACAAACAAAAACAACAACAAAAAACTTACTCTAAACTGAATAGTTTTAGTCAGAAACCTTTACTTGATGTGTAAGGGTAGTAAGTAGAACCAAAAGGTGGATACCTCATTTAATGAGGACCCTGGGACATAATTCAAGGCTGTAAAGGCTTACTATGAGAAATAAATTAACAAATAAATGTTGCAAGGTGTCTGGAGAGTTCAGGTTTACCCACATGTCATTGTTAGTGAAACTTGCAAACTAAAGTCTTTTGTCTTGACACTTTAAAATTTAGTATTCAAAACTCATGACAAACCAAGAGCTATTAAAATAAGAAACAACTGCAAAGTAAACAGGAAGATGCATTTTGTAAACATCCCGCTACTGGCAGAAATCAAGGTTTTGATTATTCCACAAATTGGTCTTTGTCAGTGATGCCAACAAATGCACTTATGCATTTTCTTTCATTATGTAAAAGAAAAACCCAGATGCTCAGTGTTCCTATGTCTAGAGCTCCAGTTCCTGTGGATACTTTAAGGGCAATTAAAAAAAGAAAGTATATTCCTTTCTGCATGAAAAAGAAACTATAACACAAGTCTGCTTGTCTTGCTCTTCAAGACACAACCATATTTGTTCAATATATTTACCAAACAAAGTTTTTGCTCTCTTGCAAACAAATAATTAATCTGCTGATCATGATGTTATTTACAGTACATATTAAGAGAAGATAAACCCATTGGGTATGAATATTGACATTTAAGAAATGAGAAATACCAAAGAATTCTTTAATAAAGGACACATATGAGACCAGCGGATGGCAAAGAGGTTACATCACTGGACTCCCAGTTGGCTGACAGAGGTTTGAGTCCTAGATCCATGTTTCTTTTTTTTTTTTTTTTTGGAGAGGTTTTCACTATAGGGCGCGTGCGCTCGCCAGACAGACAGAGACATAGAGACAGAAAGGGAGAAATCACCCCCCAGGGGGGATGGTCACGCCGCAATCTCTTCTCCTTCATTCTCCTCTCGGGATCTTGGGCATGCATACACACGCGCCCGGCGTGAGTTTTAAGCCACTGGGTCCAGGACACGAACCACGGTCGACTACGTCGGAGTCCAGCTACATAGCCATTATGCTAACTGCTGGTTCCCAAGATCCATGGTTTGAAAGTAACACCCAGCATGCGCATTTATGTTCCCAATATCCCAGGAGGAGAATAGAGAAGGGATTGTGGTGTGACCCTCCCCTGTGGGGGGTGGTTTCTCATTTTCCCTCTCACTGTCTCTATCTCTCTCTTTCTCTGGCGAGTGTGCATGCTTCAAGGCAAAAACCTCTTAAAATTAAATTTAAAAATTTAAAAAGTAAAGGACACACATGATCTAGGTCTTCTGGACATTCTACATATCCTCAGTAGACTTTAACATGCAAATGAAGAAGGAACTTCAAAGCTACTCATTGATCATTTCTCTTGTGACTCAGAGGAATTGTATGTGCCTTTTGTTTTTGTATGTCAGTTTTGTTTCATTTTTAGAGATGTTTAAAACAAAACTTATTTTTCTGACAAGGCTACTTGGGCTTTCAAGAAGAAAAATAAATAGAAACAGAGGTTCCTATGGGTATATAAAATGTGATTTCTGGGCATAGGCACACTTTTTGTTTGTTTGTTTGTTTCTCCCATAGGGCATGTGTGCTCCCTAGAGAGAGACAGAGAGACAGAAAGAAATCACCCTGTGGGGGAATGGGCACATTGGAATCACTTCCTTTCCATTCTCCTCTTGGGATTTTGGGCATGCACACACATACGACTGGCATGAACGTCAAGCCCCAAATCTGGACTCAAACCATGGTCAGTCATGAGAGAGTCCACTGCCTTAACCACCACACCACCACTGGCTCCATATACACTCTCAACAGTATTGATAAGGAGGAGACTGGCTGGCTCATGCTCAAACCCAAAGTGCCGTCTCCCTGAAGTCTAGAAGAGGCCTTGTGATTGTATCTAGCCAATGAGACTAAGTGTGTGTGCCATGTGCTGATTCCAGGCCCAGCTAAAAATGACCACATAGGTCATTTTTCTTTCACCTGTGGGCTTGAAGTAGGGAAGCATGATGACCTTGAAGCCATGTATTGGAGGATCAAGGGTCCAAAATTGATAAGAATTCAGGAGGAAAGCTGGGAAAATAACTGTTTGCTAATCAGGGGCATCCTTTTTATAACTCACGGGGTTAGAAATAGTTTCAAACCATTATACTTTTGTAGGGTTTGTAGTAGTAATTAGCATTATTTTATTTAGCACCATTTGTAATTAAAATATATATCCTGGGTGGTTGCCAGTGACTGAGGCGGGAGGGAAAGGAAAGTTACTGTTTAACAGGTACAGAGTTTTAATTGGAAAAGATGGAAAACTTCTGTGGACAGATGGTGGTGACAGTAGCATAACAAAAGGAATACACTTAATGGCACAAACCACGCTTAAAAATTGCCACAACTATAAATATTATGCTGTGTATATTTTGCCACAATAAAGATAAAGCAGCCTGTAGTCTGAGGGTTAGGTACTCATTTTGCAGTCCCAGATTAAGTCACTAGATTCAATAGCACCCTAAGGCAGGTATGGGTAAGACACATCAGGTGTCACACTGCCATAGTCTACCAAACTACGGTCATTGAGGCCAGCAAGTTGCCTTTTTCTTTCTTTCTTTTTTGAGAGATATTTGCTATAGGGCACAAGCACTCTCCAGAGAAACAGAAAGACAGAAAGCAAGAAACCACTTCCTATCCTTTCTCCATTCTCCACTTTGGGCACACACACACACACACACACACACACACACAGAGTGATTCTCAAGCCACTGGGTCTGTGGCTCAAACTGCAGTCGACCACGTGGGAGTCAGAGTCTTAGCCATTATGCCACCTGCTGGTCTCCAGAAAGTTGCATTTTAGAAGAAATTCCTCCTGATCAAATTGTATGCCTCAGTGTAGGTAGCTCGATGGGATGAAAAACTTGGATGCAAGGATTTTTAAATGTTATTAAGTCATTTTCTTTTAGCAGAAGAATTTTCACATACAGAGCTTCATGTACTCCTTTGATATAGATAGGCTATATTTTACAGATTAAAATGACATTTAAAGACACAATATGATGTTTTTGAAGGACTCACAGTTAATGGGTATCAGTTAAAATGATATCTGAGGTTCGTTCTCCAAATGCAGTATTGGTAGTGTTCAATAATAGTGGGAGGGAATCAGCAGTTAACGTAGTGGCTATGTCGCTAGACTCCCATGTAGTCGACTGTGGTTCGCGTCCCGGACCCGGTGGCTTAAAACTCACACCGGGCGTGTGTGTGTGCATTCCCAAGATCCCGAGAGGAGAATGGAGGAGAAGGGATTGCGGCGTGACCATCCCCCCTTGGGGGTGATTTCTCGCTTTCTGTCTCTATGTCTCTCTCTGTCTGTCTGGCGAGTGCACATGCCCTATAGCGAAAACCTCTCCCCCCAAAATAAATAAATAAATAAATAGTGGGAAAATCAGACTTATTTGGATTTTAGTTATTTTGGGTAGAAGATATAGAGCCCTAAAAGGAAAGAAGGGACAGTGGACATTCAGAGACTCCTGAGGGAGTGAATTTGTCTATTATCTGTTAAGAATCATTTCATGGTGTCTTTTCTCTGTCTGAAACTATATTGTTGTCAAAGGTCATATTTGCAAATCACACTGCATGGGTCTCTATAAGGAAGAATGGTTTTCATAATTGATTTTATTCTTATAACTACTAAATGGTATGGGTAAAATAACTGTGTTCCAGGTCATGCTGAGTGTTACCCTTTGAACAGGCATTTATCAAAGGACAAAGAAGAAAAAAACAACTGGGCATGGCCAGGTAAAAATGTTCAAGATCATCTAATGAAGATATCACTTACATATGAAAGAGGGTTTTGGACTTTGTAATAGGGAAGAGGGTTTTGGGTTCTTCTAATCTCTAGCAGCCACTAAAAAGTATCCAAAATAACAATAGTCATGGAAAAAATTATTTTCATTGAGACAGAACTGATACTTCCTCATTCTTTATACAAAGTGTGAACAAAGCATCTTTTAAAAAAATGCTTCTGGGAACCAGCAGTTATTGTAATGGCTATGTCGCTGGACTCCCACGTAGTCGACTGCGGTTCGAGTTCCGGACCCAGTGGCTTAAAACTCACGCCGGGCACGTGTGCGTGCGTGCCCAAGATCCCGAGAGGAGAATGGAGGAGAAGGGATTGCAGCATGATCATTCCCCCCTGGGGGGGGGGATTTCTCGCTTTCTGTCTCTATGTCTCTCTCAGTCTTTCTGGCACGCGCATGTGCCCTATAGCAAAAACCTCTCCAAAAAAGAAAAAAATGCTTCTGTGGTATTTTCTATGGTTTAAGTGTATCCCTGAAAGTTCATGTGGGCTCTGCCTATGAATGAATTAAAGTTGTTATCATGGGACTGAGTCAGCCCCCTCAAGAGCAGGTAGTTTTCTTAAAAGTATAAACTTTGGGCTGGCTGGTGGTATGGTGGTTAAGGGCACTGGATTCCCACATGGTCAACTGTAGTTCAAGTCCCAGGTCTGACGGCTTGCTTTCTCACTTTTCTTTTCTCTCTCTCTCAGCCTGTCCCTCTCTGGTCAAATTAAAATAAACAAACAAATAAATAAATTTAAATAAAATAATTCTTAAAAAAAAAGTATGAATCTGTCCCTCTTCCTCTTCTCTCTACAATGCTCCCCTGCCCTTCCACTTTCTGCCTTAGACTTCCAAGCCTTCGGAACTGCAAGA